ATAACTATAATGACAGTGCTAAAAAAAACTGCAATTGTAACCGCATAAGGGAATTTACTTTAGCCCAGCATGGTAAAAAAAGAAACTGTTCATAAGTTTACGAAAAGTGAAGCATATTTGCATTGCTATGGCTAATGTGTTCAAGACCACCCCCGTTAAAAAAAAAAACCTTTGATAAAGGGCCCAATATCTTAATAATTTCCTCTCCTTAATTGGGGGTGAGGAAGAGCCTATCCACGGCTCTGCATATTTATTACTGGTTGATTTATTCCTCACAAGCAAATGCTATATTTTGCTTTAAGTTATCTTGAAACAATTGTGAAAAAGATTTCATAAAACTTGAAAAAGATGTCTCCAATGTTGAGAATAACAAATTGTCAAAATTCTTGAAAAATCTTTAAGTCAGTTATTTCTAATTTTTTTTTTTTTTTTTTGGCATATCTAATGACAAAACGGTTTTTGCAAAGCTTGTGGCTTTAGAGAGGAAAAAGAAAACAGAAAGATTTTAAAATTTATTATAGATTTAGTTAAAAGGCTGGTTCAGTTCTTAGAACTAACGGGTGACAGGAGTAATGTCGAAAAATAAACTTCAGAATAGAGTCGAATATATTAAAAAAACCTAATGCTGCAAAAAAGGAACAGTGTTGCAAATGAGTTTAATGAATACTGTCGAAAACAAAAATAAGGAATAGTGTCGCAAATGAATTTTTTAAAGAATAATGAAAGAAAAAATTGCTACCCAACCCCAAACCTTCAGTCGATGTAGCGGCACTCCTTCGCGGCAGCAGGTTATAAGATAGTTGGTGAATGCATTGAAGCCCCCGGCAGCAGGCTATTTCAGTATGACATTTTTATTTTTTTTACATTAAGCTCGTTTAGAACGTTATTTCTCTTTTCTATTTTTGACACTATTCATTAAATTCATTTACGACACTATTCCATTTTTTTTTGTTCTCGACACTGTTCATTGAACTCCTTTGCGACATTATTCCTTTTTTTTGACACTATTCATTGAGTTCCTTGCGACTATATTCCTTATTCTGTTATTCGACAACCAATAATGCGACAATTTGTGATTCTATTCCTTTTTTTTTTGATATTTTTGACAATAAAAATTTGCAACAATCAAAGTTTTGCGACACTATTTTTCGTCACACCAAACTAACAAATGCAAATGTTTGTCGTATCTCTTTAAATAGTTAAATTTGTTGTTTTTTTAATTTTTGGAGTAAGCTAACTAACACGAAATTTTTAATTATCTCAATACTTCTGATCTATATACTTATGGTCTATATAACTAATGGTCTATATACTTATATTGGCATTATTAAAATTAGAACAAGCAGCCAAATAAATAAACATATTTTTCCCATTATAAAAAGCTAGAGAACTATTTTTGTAGTATTTGAAGTAAAGTTCTGTTTAAATATCTTCTAATTGGTTTTAAACTTTGCGAAACATTAAAAAAAAACTTTTTCCAAAACTTAAAAAGTTTCGTATTTTATCTCTAAAATAAAACTTCTAGAGGATCTTTCACAGTATCTGTAATAAGAGCAAATCTGTTATTCCAGCTCTTTTGTATGGTTCAGATTTGTCACCCCACCTAAAGACAAAGCTGAATTATTTGCTAAGAACTTCTCATCGATATCACCACTTGATTCTACTAGTCGCGTTCTATCTGATATAGCCTACATACAGGTTAATCTATTTGCAGAGGTTTGCATCACTCCAGCTTTTGTCTTCTTCTTATCATTAGCAAGGTCTTTCCATTAGTCTTTTTTCTATCATAAGCAAGGTTTTTGAGTCTTTATTTAAGTAACACTTAATCACTCATCTTGAATCAAATAGATTACTTTCTGATCATCAATATTAGTTTTGATCTTCCTATTCTACTGCTGATTTGTTAACGGTAAAAACTGATAGATTTTATCGTGCATTAGATAGATGTAGATAGGCTAAGGCTATCACTCTTCACATTTATAAAGCTTTTAATAAAGTTTGACATGCCGATCGTGTCCATAAGCTCTTCTCTTAAAGTGTGTCAGGTAACATCTTTAAGATGATTGAATCCTTCCTTACCAATCGTAGTATAAAAGTTGTTATCAGTGGACAGCACTCTTCTTCATATCCTGTAACTTTAGGCGTTCCTCAAGGTTTTATCCTTTGCCCTATACTTTTTTTTTATTTGCAATAACGATCTCCCAGAAATTCTCACATCCAAGGTGACATTGTTCACTGATGATACTACTATTTATACTTGTCTTGATAAAAAGCCACCACTCTCTGATTGTTTGGAGGGGGTATTTGAGCTTCAAAAGGATCTCACCTCTGCTTCAGCATGGGGCTTACAGTGGCTGGTGAACTTTAAATCAGGTAAAACTCAATTTTTTCTGCTAATTGTTATCGCAATAATCAAGATCTATTTATGAACGGTAATGTACTCAAAGAGTTATATACCCTTTCTCTTCTTGGATTAACTCTTACTTACGATCCTTATTGGAAACCATATATCAAATCCATAGCAAAATTAGCATCTGCTGATGTTGCACCTCTTTATCATGCTTGTCACTTTCTTACTTCGGATTCATTCTTTATCTCTATAAATCTCAAATCCGGCCTTGTAAGGAATACTGTTGCCATATCTGAGGCGTATCTTTCAATGATGCTGTTCAAAGGTGCAAAAACGCATTGTAAATATAGTTAGACCTGTACTTGCAGCCAACCTCCAACCAATATCACATCGTTGTAATGTTGTTTTTCTTTCTATTTTCTGTACCATCTACTAAAGCTAATTTTCGTGATACTCGTCATTCAATTAAATCTTATTTTTTTACTGTTACTGTTCCTAAATGCTCCGAAAATTCTTATTTGTCTAGTTTGTTTTCTCGAACTCGTCTCGTTTTTCCTCAGTTTTTTGGAACTCGATTCCTTCATCTTGTTTTTTTGATTCATATAATTTGCAATCTTTTATGTCGACTGTTAATCGTTATCTTGCTCTATAAACCTGATCTTTTCTACTCCAGTAACTTCCCACTTTAATAGTAGTTGTTTTCAGCATTGTTGAATGTGAAGATGTTAAAAAAAAAAACAATAATAATAATAATTTTTTAAAATAAATTTCCTTCATCACAGTATTAGTATAGATATATAAATAATTTCTTGTAAATATAAATCTTCTATAAATACTTTTCTTCTTTTATATATATAGATTTACATTTAAATGAAACAAAACAAAAATTTTTTTAATATTTTTTTAATTTACTATACATATATGTATGTATGTATGTATGTATGTATGTATGTATGTATGTATGTATGTATGTATGTATGTATGTATGTATGTATGTATGTATGTATGTATGTATGTATGTATATGTATGTATGTATGTATGTATATTATATTAAAATTTTCTCAAGATGGAGAGATTTAAAAGTTAAAACAGCTCATATCATAATGACAAAATACGACTCATGTTTCTTTAATATTCAACATGATCAGATATATGCATAAACCTTTGTCGGTATAAAAACTGAGGAAAAGCAATTAAAGTGCCATTTTTATATGAAAAATAAATAGTATGTGACATTAAATTTTAAAATGTGTAAATACCAGATTTCTATAAATTATTTGAAAGAAACTTCAATACTTTTAATGGTTAAAAAATTAATCAAAATCAAACAATCTGTAATAAACAATAACAGCCAAAAGTTTATATAAAATTCCCAAATTTTTCTCTGACTTTTTTGAAAAATCAGATGAATTTCCCTGACCATTTTCAACAATGGTTTTCATAAAATGTATAAAATTACTATCTAATGCGATGGAAATGATAAAACAATACATGCTTTGAATGACAAAAATTTTAAATTGAGTTAAGTTGGATATTTGTATGAATCTTATTATACATGTTAGTGTGGATTATATTATTAAAGATAATTAAGAATGAACAATAACAAAAACAAAAGTTTCAGAAAAAATAAATGGGTATCACCAACAAAAACATAATAACTTAATTGTAAAACGAGTAACTTCTTAATCAGAACTCGCTGACTTTTCCATGACTATCTAGAGAAAAAAAAAAAAAATTCCCTGACTTTTCCAGATTTTCTATGACTATAGCCAAAACTAACTAATTTTCCAGGTTTTCCAGGTAAATTACGAACCCTGAATAATGTTAAGTTGGTAACACCAATAGCATTGCACCCACAATAGAGTAATAACTATTTTAACCTTATTTTTGGTTATAGTAATTAAAATATTCTTTATATAAATAATATTAAAGATTATACCTGGAAATAAATACTTTTAAAGGTTATATCTGGGAATAAATACTTTTATTAAAGTTTATAAATATTAAAAATGTAAGAAATGTGATCGGCCTAAAATTTTTAGGATAGTCTTAAAGTTATATGTAGAGAAAATCCCAAAGTCAGCCAATATGATTTGAAAAAAAATTTATTTGGCCTAATATATATTATATTATATTATAAAAAAAAATATTATATTATAAAAACTTTAAAATAAGTATAAAAGTAATAAAAAACAAAACAAAAAACTGCCAATTTTTTACCTAACCATATATTTGGTCCTAATGTGTAAATTTGATTATAAACCCCTTTCAAATTTGAAAATATTTGATATTTAAAATGCAAACGGTTTTTTGAAAGTTTGTGGCTTCAAAGAGGAGATAACAAAAAAAAAAAAAAAAAAAAAAAAATAGGAAGATTTTTTAAACATTAAAAAAGAAAAAAAATTTCACCAATATTTTTAATATTAGAGCTAATTAATTTTTTAAAATACATTTTTGTCATCATAGTATTGATATACATATAAATACTTTTCTGTTAATATAAGTCTTCTATAAATACTTTTTTTCTTTTAAATATATATCAATATATTAAAAAGAAACAAAAAAATTAAAAAAAATTTTAATTCAAATATGCATATATATATATATATATATATATATATAAAATTAAAAATTCTAAAGATAGAGAGATTTAAAAGTTAAAATAACTTATATCAAAATGACAAAATGCAACTCTTGTTTCTTTAATATTTTACAAGATCCGCATAACCTTTTGTCGGTATAAAAACTAATGTTCAAATTTGTTGGTATAAAAAGTAATCTTCAAAAACGCCATCGTATTCGTAATATCCAAGTACCATTTCTGTGAAGCAAAAACAAACCTTGTGAGTTTCCTAATAAATTATATATATAAAAGATATTAGATTTTAAAGTTACTTTAGAAATATTGAAATATTAATTGAAATATTAAACTTTTATTAGAAAATAATTTACTTAATAAAACACAGACTATAGCCGCTTCGAATATTCTAAAGGATGACTAAAAAACTTTGTTTATAGTCGCTTTGAATATTCTAAAGGATGACTAATTCATAAAAGAACTCAAAAATTTTATAAGAAAAAAGAACAACTTGCCAAACTTACAAACTTTACAAGTGTGCAACTAAATTCGCTGAATTCAAGACAGCAGATAGATATCTATTGTTTGTTTTCAGAAATAAATTAAATCAATGAAAAACCGCCGGATGAAATTTATAACATTAATATAGTATAAAGAGTAGGTTACACGTTTATAAGAGGGTGTTCAAGTATATACTCAGGTGGGTAAAAAAATGATATGCATAAACATTATACATATATTCACTACCAAGTTCAAGCCAATATTTGGCTCACTTTATAACTTTGAGAAAAAGCAATTCAAGTGCCATTTTTATATGACATGTAGTTTTAAATTGTCCAAATACCAGGTTGCTAAATATTATTGGAAAAAGACTTAAATACAAAACTTAACTTCTAATGGTGAAAATTAACTTCTAATGGTGAAACTTAACTTCTAATGGTGAAACTGAAATTCTAGGAAGATTTGGAACTTTTTCATATCTTTCTTACCTTTCTCTGTCATAACTTTGTTAATTCTTATCACAGCTTGGTATTATTATACAATAAGAGCATGTCAAGGGCATTAGAGGGGCGTCTATAACACCCTTTATATATTTAAAAAATGAAGGTTTGTTGAAGAAAATATTAATTTTAAATTTTAAAAGAAAAAAATAATAATAAACTTTATTGAAAATAATAAAATTAGATTTATTTATTATACGAGGTCACCATCAAAAATGATTAGGATTGGACTGAGTGGGTAATGTCAGTTTTGTTTCAGATATTGATGTTTGCACCCTCCCACCCAATATCAATGCTATAACTTTGTATTTTTACATCTAAATGCATACATTTTAGTGTCTTAAAAAAAGTAAGGTTTTTTCATAAAGAGAGCATAAGAACGATCTTTTTCAAACCCATTTCCAACCTTGACTAGGAAAGTACAAATTCGAATACTAATTTTTTTCAATTAACAATAATTATTTAAAACATAAATTTTAAATACAAAATAAAAAACAAAACAAAAAAACATCTCTATTTAATTTTTTAACTTCAATTAGTTTGTAAATCAAGCAATTCATTTAATAGACTATGTAATTTACTAAAATAGAATAGCCAATTCATATCATAACTAAAAAAATGACAAATATAATAATATACGAAGTGAGATAAAAAACCTGAGATAAAGACATTTTTAATATTTATATTTTTTATATTTAAAGAAATAAAAAACTTTATTATAATTTATCTAAATTATAATAAAGTTTTTATTTCCTTAAAATGTTCAAACAAATAACATATTCTTGTGTAACGTACCAGATAGCTAACTTTAAGTTTAAGATTTACGTGTGAAAGAAAATCCTTACTGATTTCTTTTACCTAAATACAATTTTCATTGTACAGGTTTAATATCCGATGTGGCTTGCAAATAAAAGGCCTGGTCATTATAAAAATACTTTAGGACTTACTTATAAAAAAATAGAACTTGTTAAAAATCAAACAGAAAATACACACAAAAATTAATTTCAAAACCAGCAAAGAAATTCTTATAGCTTTAATCCAAAAGACTTTCTCAACACTATGCTGCAAAGTGATGAAAAATATTTAAATAAGCAAGGTAAAGGGCTAATTCTGCTCATAAGGCACTTAAAAAATAAACTCTTATCAAACCAAAAATGTAAGTAAAAGCAATTATGCTTAATAAAAGCATTTTTTAAATTGACATTATTCTTCTGACTACTTTTCTCCTTTCATCTTATTAGAGAATAGTTTAAACACTTTTTAAAAACCTTGTTCTAATGGTCTGTAAAACTTGTATTAATGCAAAGAAAATTTAATACAAGTTAAAATAAGTCAAGTTAAATAACACAGCTTCATCCTTGTTAAATACTATAACAAAGAAGAATATAGGTTTATTTAAAAGTAATCCAACTAAATACTTAATACTTATAACAATCAAAAAATATATAATATATTTTTATTTTTTTCTTGTACCCTTTTTAAACAGGTGCCTTTGTTAACAAAAAATTCTTATGAAATTATTGACAAAAACCACAGTTTATGGAAACAAGAATCAAGCAACAAAAACAAACAAACAATAAATAAGATGGAAAAGACTTCCTGCCTCATTAAAATTTTAAATTTTAAATTTAATATTAAATTGCAACACCAAAAGCATTGCACCCCCAATAGAGTAATAACTATTTTCATTTTAAATTTTGTTTCATTTTAATGCAGAGGGAATGGGAGGATGAAATTCAAAATAGATTAGGTCATAAAGTTTACATCCCACTCCAAAAAGTTTATACATTGCAGTAATTAGAACATACTCTGTATAAATAATATTAAAGATTTCATCAATAAACACTTTTAATAAAGTTTTTATTGATAAAATTTTTTTTATATAAATATTAAAAATGCAAGAAAAATAAATTATATAAGAGCATAATTATATACTAAAAACTTGAAAATTAAAAAACTGTGTTAAAATTTTTAAGTTTATCTTACATTTAGTATGTAGAACAAAACTCAAAATCAGCCAATATGATTTGAAAAAAAATGTTGGCATTGGCCTATATATGTAATGAAAACTACAGTATAAAATGTAATAAAAAACAAAACAAAAAATTAACAAATTTTTACCTAACCATTTATTTGGTCCTAATGTGTAAATTTGATTAAAATCTCCTTCTAAATTTTTTCGCATTGATGGATCAATAAAATTGGATGCTGTTTCAGTAAATTGTTGCTTGGTTATTGATAACCATTTCTTATAGATGTTGTGAAACATCATATATGTTTTTTGATTACGATGAACTGCATACAGTTCATTGGTTAACAAGTGGTGACCAAGAACTGAACCAACCTGTACATCTAATTCTAAAATAAGTATCTTAACTTAAGCAAATTAAGTAACTTTAGCAATTTAAGTAATAGAATTTTTATTTAAAGATCATGTAAATAGTTATAAATGCATAAAATATTCCTATAGTTTAACAAGGTAACTTTATAGAATATTAGTAATACAGTAGAACCCCATTAATTTGGACTCTCAAGGGGATAATAACTAATATTCAATTATTGTCTTAGTGAATGTCCCAATTAAACAGCTCTCAATATGTCAACTTATCAAGATCTCAAACGTTGTTCTATATTTAAAATTTATGTATATATATATATAGAACTACAGAGCCTTGTATGAAATATCAGGGTGGCCACTCAAATTTGAAAATGAAATTCCATGACTTTTCCATGACTTTTCCATGACTCTTCATAAAGTTTTATGATAAATCACTAGAAAAAAATATTCAGTACCTGCCATCCATTAAGCATTCGCAACTTGGTCATTATAAAACATGCAAACGAAAAACTAATTGGTAGAAAGTTCTGAAATCATGTCTAAAAAAAACTCTTTTTCTTTTACTTCTCTGATAACTTACACTGCAAAAATATTTTTTTCAAAAAGGACTTAGACTAGACATACTAGTCCTTTTCTTTGCATTCTAAAAATATCGCAAGTAGAAAAAAAAAAAGATAATTTTAAAAGTTTTGTGAGTTTTCCATCACTTTCAATAAAAATTTAGGAACTCCATAGCGTTTCCCATGACCAAATAAAATTCCATAACATTTCAATGATTTCCATGACCAGTGGCCACCCTGAATATACTTCAGCACATTATAAACAAAAAATATCAGAAACTAATGTTTGTTTCAGTGATTTTATGAAATCTTTTTCATATAGCTTTGAAACATTTAAGTTTTACCTATCTGAGTAGATATTGAAAATATCTAATAACAATGGCACCATTGGTTCATCAGTTAGTTCATTTCTACTTCTTTTTCTTCTTCTTGCATTTCATCGCCAACTACTTTTTTTTGCAGAAGCGGATAATAATAGTGAGTTCTTAAACTTCTTTCTAAGAATGAACAAGCATTTCACTAAAAACAAGTATAGAGAAGACATTTTTTTTTTGTTGATAATAGCATTTATGATCGAGTTAATTAAATGAGTTTGGTACTTGAATTTTAACTATCCATGACTCTTTGATCCATAGATTGCAAACAAGAAGTTGTAATTGGGGGAAGAAAGTAGAGGATGTTGATTTAAGAGCAATACTCAATATTCGGATAGGTGATACAATTATCAATAACAAATGCTTCCTTTAAAACTTGCTGTCATATTCTCTGACTGACTATTTAAATAGTTTTAAGTCCATTCAGCTCTTTTTTTAAGCACGATAACAGCATGCAGTGCTTCTAACTTGATTGCAACAACAGTTTTTTGGTTTCATCATAAATAAAATTGGGAGCTTTCTGCACAAACGTTAGCTGCAGGGGTCCTGTTAAACAATGCAAAACTTAAAATTCTTGCTCACTACATTTCTCATCTTTTAAATGTATACTTTTTTTTTGAAGTGCTTTGTAAAACAAGCCATACTTAACTGAATTGAATATTTCACAGGTGTGGTAATTAGACAATATTATTGACAAATTGGTTTTCCTCCAAGAAGCTGTCATTTCATTGATAACATTTTGACTTTCACCTAAGCAAAAGTAGAAAAGTAATTTTATAATCAACAGAAATTTATTTGCTGTTGTTTTAGAGTTTTGAAAAATATGTATCAATGTATGATAACATACCTGATATTGTTTTTTTTCAATTAATCTAACCACCCATCAGATACTTGAAAGTTTGAACAACTAAGTTTTTTTACAAAATGCAACTTTGGTGTCAGGCGTTTAAAAGACACATAAAATGCTTTAGTTTAATCTTTATTTAAGGAGATTTACTTTTTTTGCAAATGTTTTATTTTTTTTAACTTTTATATATATTATTTTGTTTCCTTTCTCCATCAAAATAATGTTTGCTTTAGGAAGGCATATTTCTTTACCATAGATACAGAGAATTTTCTAATGTCAATTTCTTTTAGCATTTTGTTTTTCTGCTATATTTCTTTTAACATTTAATTTATTCAATGGTTAACCAAATTAAAGTTATCTGTGAAAATGTTTAGTTTGTTAAATTATATATTTTAAATTTAATGGAATTTTTATTTTTCAATTCCATTAAAAAAAATAAAGTAAATAGTTAAAAAATTAATAGCTTTGAAAATAAAAATTATTGAAATTATCAACACAAAAAATATAAAAATAAAACTGAACTTACCATACCACAAACTTCCTTCATCGTTTGAAACATAGCACGCTACTTTTGTACTAAAGTAAAAAACACATATATTACATAATAACTAGCCCCACCATTTCTGCCAATATTTCTGTTGTATATTTATGTATATATATATATATATATATATATATATATATATATATATATATATATATATATATATATATATATATATATATATATATATATATATATATATATATGTATATATATATATATATATATATATATATATATATATATATATATATATATATATATATATATATATATGTATATATATATATATATATATATATATATATATATATATATATATATATATATATATATATATATATATATATATATGTATATATTTCTGATTTTTGAAGGTCTTTATTCAATTTCGATATAGAGAAAAGTATATAATTTTTTTTACTGCCTCCTCTAGTCTTTTGAAATTTTTCAACTTTTTTTAGAATTTCCTAGTATAAATTTCTATATACTAAAATATATACGCTATATATACACTATATACATTTAATTATGCTTAGGTTGAGAGAATTGCATAGTGTAAGTTTTTTTTTTTAAATGGTTAAGCAGTTTTGCATCAGATCTTAATTAAATGATGCTCTCATGGTAGATGAACTATTGAGTTACTTTACTATAAGGAGTGAAGCATTAGTATAAAATATTGACTTAAATAATAATAATAATAATAATAATAATATATATATATATATATATATATATATATATATATATGTATATATATATATATATATATATATATATATATATATATATATATATATATATATATATATATATATTTATATATATATATATATATAAATATATATATATATATATATAATATATATATATATATATATTTATATATATATTATATATAACATATATAATATATATATACATATATATTATATATGTTATATATAATATATATGTATATATATACATATATATTATATATAACTTTTAGCAAATGAATATTGATGTAAACACATGAAAGTTTATTGAAAATATACCTTTAGTACTTAATTTAAGTCATTTTTATGCTTTTAAAAGTTACAGTTTTTCTCATTGTTGCATGATAAAAATTGTAATGTAGGTTTTGTTAACTTTCATGTAACGTAAATTAACAAAAATCATGATCAAGTTTTGTTTTTTCTAAAATTTAGTTAAAAAATTTAAGTTTTTTAATAATATATGTGAAACATTTTACTAAAACAAATCTTTTGTAAACGCAATTAAGGGTGTCATCCATATAGTACGTCACCCTATATTTGTCAATTTTTAACCCCTTCCCTTCTGCCATGAACGATCAAATATACTTGAACCCTCTTCCCCTCATAAACTGTGCAGCAGCATTTACATCAAAAATATTTTACAAGATTTAAATGTTTATATTTTGCAGGATTTTAAAAATTCAACCTAATGAAAATAAGGCAATATGCATAAAAATAAGGTAAATAAAAATTTCAACAAAGATTTTCTTATTAAAAGACTTAATAAGTATTTAGTTGTCATTTTTAAATGACAACTTTATTAATACTTATTAAGTTATTTTTGACTTAATAAGTATTAACAATAATGAACTTGAGAAAAAATTGTTATCAATTTGATAACTTTCATAAATGTGGTGAAAAATCACTCAATAAGAGTGTTACCAGATTTTCAAAATTGCCTTTGTTAATTACTTTTATTGAATAAGTTCAATACTTTTGCAACTCTTTTGTTATGTAACTCTATAAAATATAAATCCTAATAATAGATATAAAAAATCCGCAATAATATTTGCTTGATAATATGTGATGTAAGGTAACGTTAATATATAGTATCAAAAAAACAAGTTTGTTTTTCTTAGCTGGTCACCTCTGAAAATTTTTTATATATTCTTTATATTAATATTGAATTCTCAACATCTTGTGAAAGTTTCCAATACAAACCTCTTTACTGATTTGCAGAAATCTGACCTAAAAATTAAAGTAATTTTTTTACAATGTTTTCTGTTTTTTTTTTTGCATTTTGTTGCAAAGTCTCTAACTAAATCAAAATTATATTACACTGACTTTTTTTTTTTTTTTTTACCTCAGTTTAGATTTAGAAGCGCATTAATTGCATTGCTGTTGTTTTTATTTTGAAAATTTTAATTTTTATGTGTTTTTCAAATCTGATCTATTATACTTTTAAAACATTTAATTTAAATAATTCTTGTAAATCCTCATTAGTACATAAATAATTTAAAGTTTGATGCAAATATTAATTAAATGATATATTTAATAAAGCTGGCATATGGTTATTTGTATTCATTTTACTTTACAAAAAATTAATTGAAAATGTTGTAGAACTTTTAAATGACGGCGACTGACATTTAACCATGTAGCCTACATAATGTGTATATCTATGAAGCATAAATGTATGTAATTATTTTTTGCACCTGTTGCAACTGCAACTGCAATATCTATTTTAATAGTGTATACTTAGCCAAATCTGTAATTGTGGCACTGGTTTTTATGTCAGGGGAGGGAGAGGGTTATTTATTTTTTAATATTTTATATTATATTTACAAAAATTTATATTATATTTTATAATAAAGTTCAAAAAAAAGGAAAAAAGTTTGGGGAGAGAGATGGGGGGGGGGGGATGCAATGCACAGCAGACCAGAACAGCTAGTTTTGAAGACAAACTAATATATTAGGTCTACCGGAAAGTTCTGTCCATTTTTGGAATCAAACAAAATACAAATTTTTTTTACCGCCAATTAACTTTATTGAATAATATAATTGCCATTATTTTTAATGACCTCTTGCCAGCGTGAGGGCAATTTGTACATCCCATTTCTGAAAAATGTTTCATCTTTTGATGCGAAAAATTGAACCAGTACTTGTTTGACATCTTCATTTTTGAATTTTTTGCCCGTAAAAAATTTTGTAAGGACAAAAACAAGTAATAATCAGAGGGTGCTATGTCCGGAGAATATGGTGGGTGCGACAGAATTTCCCAGCCTAATTCTGCAATTTTTTGACGAATCCCTAAAGCAGCGTGTGGTCTGGCATTATCGTGGTGCAGTATGATGTCCTTCCTATTGAACATTGCCGGCCTATTTTTTTGGACTGCTGTCTAAATTATCCAGATGCTGGCAATACTTCTCCGAATTAAGCTTTTCATTTGGTTTTAAAAGCTCATAACGTATTGGTCCTCGAATGTCCTACCATATACACAATATTCTCTTATTCAGAGTCAAATTTGGTTTAGAGGTGGAAGGGCTAGGTTTTCCGGGTTCACAATATGCCCTTTTCCTTACAATGTTGTTGTATGTAATCCACTTTTCATCCCCAGTTATCACCCAGTTCAAAAAAGGCTCGATTTTGTTCCGAGCAATCTGAGATGTTCATATGACAACTTGATCATCCAAATTTTTCTGACTTAATTCATGTGGCATTAATCCCATCTTCCGAATATGGTCAGAAATGGTTGCTGAGCTGAATTAAGCCTTTCTGCGATCTCCAATGTTGTCAAAAAAGGATTTTGCTCCAACATTGCCTAAACAACATAATCGTCTATCAAAGATGGTCGCCCAGAACGTGGCTTATTAGGAAGGTCAAAATCACCTGTTTCAAATTTTTCGTACTATCTTCTGCATGTCCTATCAGAAACTGTATCTTCCCCAAACTTTCAATAAATTTTTACATGCTTCTGTAGCATTTCTTCCTTGTTGAAATTCGTATAAAATACAGTGGCGTAAATGAACTTTACCAGTCGCCATGGATATACTATCATTTCACACTTAAAACTAATGTGAATCAACTTCATTATAGTTAATTTGCTATGTCAGTACGTATACATTAAGCGATAAAAATATAGAGCCGAACATGCAATAAATAAACATATGCTTACGTGGCGAAAATGATGTCATAGCTTCGGACAGAACTTTCCGGTAGACCTAATAGAATTTAACCCATATTGTTATATTAACTAAATTTGGAATTAGTAAAAATATAAGGTCTCCGATTCAAGAGATATTTTTTATTATTGATTGCTATGGATACCTCATTTTTTATAGCAACAAGCTTTTTGTTGTCATATTCAGTTTTATACAAATTTCAAATAAAACTCCGTATTTGTGCAAATGTCAAATATAACCGTGAATATGAAATATAACTGTGAATATGAAATATAACTGTGAATATGAAATATAACTGTGAATATGAAATATAACTGTGAATATGAAATATAACTGTGAATTTAACAAATTACAACAAACTTCGTCTATAAATTAGAGTATCGTAAACCGTAATATATATAGTAAAACATAAAAGTGGCTGAAAAAAAAAGGGAAGCTAAACCAGGCAGAATTAGAACTAGAATGAAAAATGGTAGTTTTGTGTCGGTTGGGGGAAGGGGGCGACTATCCCCTTCGCCCCTGTGTCTATGCCAGTGTGGTAAACATATTACATTTATAGCTAAGATAAAACATTGTAATTGTAAATTATTTATTAAACACTACACTGTAGCTATACCAACAATAATTAAAACTAAAATAACAAAATTGTTCTAATAAAGAAAGTAACTTTGATATCATGTTTAAAGCTTGAGAATTTTTATAGTTGAATTGCTTCATGTGGAGGTTGAATTTTAATAGATATTGATACTGGTTTTCTCAAACTGCTAATATTTGGAACAGATGAACATAGTAGTTCTCTTAGTAAGTATTATTCTTTACTCTAGATATTTTACGATTAAAATGCTCACAATTTAAATAAAAAAAATTTTTGTTGCTTCTTGAGCTTCTTCTGATAACATGCCTATTGGAAGAGAAATTCTTCTTATAACTGAATGACCATGAAAAAAAAATTTATGAGTAGTTGATGGCATGTAATGCCAGAGTCATTAGCTTTAAGCATGTCAACAACCAAATCAAGTTCTTCAATTAATTTGCGTTAAAATTCATTCCTTTTTTTTTTTACAGACTGTTTTTCAGACTGCATTAGCACTGTCTAAAAAAAATCTTTTTTTACTCTCCATTTCTTTATTTCAAATTTGTAAGCAACATGTAAAAAGCATACCATGCATTTTATCCAGCATTGTAATGTTGACAAGCCATACTTAGGTTTAGTTCAGAATAACTCTATCCAAGTTCATCTTGGGTAGAGTTATTCCACACACTGAGCAACATTGAGCTGAATTTGTTTTTTCAGACAGTGTATTAGCAATCTTTCCATCTACCATGGTTAACTCTAATATATGTTGCACCATTGAACCATTTGATAATACTGTTAACTCAAGTTTTTGACTTTTAATGAACTGTTCCTCTGCTTTGATGACTTCATTTGTTACTTTTACATATCTAAACCTTTTTGGACTACAAAACATTTTTTAAGAGTATTAAGCAAGATTACTTTTTTTCTGTACCAATAAATCCACTTAACTCTAATGGAAAAAAGCAGGTAATAAACAGGCTTCCTTCAATACTAAGATTGCATACATCTTGAACTGGAGCAAATTGTTTTTATTTTGCCTGATCTGTTGCACCATCAAAACCAACTTTTGGTCTTAAAGTTAATCTTGATACACAACTTTGTGAAAGAGCATTACTTTGTAAAGAGACCAATATTAATGCAGTATGATTTAAGAAACTCTGCATATTAACTGATGCTGAATAACTGTCAACATCCCAAGTTTCCATATCTGGATAGCATTGTTTTTTAGATTGTTTAACATTATTATATGCTTGATACAAGTTATTGTAGCCTTTAACTGCTGCTGCAGATCTTATTAGTTGATATTCATTTTTAGTCAGCCCACATTTATGTTAATAAATATGTTCTGACTAACAACAATAGTTTTATAATTTATGTTTGTTTACCTAGGAAAATGTTGATTCATGCAGACATATATAATTAAGTTTTTTGCATCCCAATAAATACCACGACCATAGCTTTCTAAATACAAAAGTACAAGAAAGCTTGTTTATTTTTTTCTTTTACATAAAAACATAACATAATGAAAATGAAATACATAATTTACATAAAAACATATCATGAAAATGAAATATGCATTTACTTAAAAACATAACATGAAAAATAAAAAAAGTTTAAAAAAATTATATAATCTATATTATATACACTTAAATTATATAAATTATATTATATACACTTAAAAATTTTAACTAAGATTTAACTATTAATTAAAACAAAATAAATTTAATAAATTATTAAGTTTAATAAATTATTAAGTTTAATAAATTATTAAGTTTAATAAATTATTAAGTTTAATAAATTATTTAGTTTAATAAATTATTTAGTTTAGATTTTTAAACAAACTGTTTTCAGTTACTTAAATATCACACTTAAAGTAAAAGCAACTTACTCAAAATATTTAAAAAATAATAACATTCTGCTTCAGACGTTTTTTTTTTTTTTACCTTTAAGAATTAGTTGGTCTTTGACAATTGGAATATTCGGATATCCAAAACACTCAACAACTTTTCTGAATGCTTTAAAGAATACTGTGGGTTTACCTAATTCCACTTGAATTGATATTTTCAAAGGAATGTCTAATGTAAAAATACCAGGTAAAGGGCATTTTGTATCATTAAATAAACCAGTAAAGTTGTAATTGAATATTTCAGAAGAATTGATTCTTCCAGTAAACTAAAAAAATTAATTAAAAAATTACAATTACAATCAAATTAAAATTTTGCATTAAAAATTTAAAAATTTGAATAAAATTTTAAAATGTGAACAATGCTATTGGTTAACTAAACCAATAGCAATTATACTATTGCAATTAGCAATATATAAAAAAAATCAGTAACAATACAATCCAGAACAAAACAAGTCAAATTAAAAAACTTAAAAACTATTAAGGCATGCAAAGTTAGATCTGCAAGATATTAGGGTTTCTTTTGACAACAGGAGACATAGGTTAAAACTCTTCTTTCCTACAAGAAATAATTAGACTTCGTTAATTCACTAGCAAAAAAAACAAATGGCAAATAACTCATGACAAGGGCTGTACTGGATTTAATTTTTCCAAATCCAGCTGAAGCCAGATTTGCCAGATTTTTACTGACAGATCCGGCCAGAATTGGAGCCGGAGCCGGATTTCGAAACAAAATTACAGGAGCCAAAATCCTGTGCATCCCTACTAGGTGTTGAGAATGGTCAACAATGTGGACTATTCAGAATACCAAGTGACAGTTGTTTTCTGTTAAAACTCATTGTTGTTATTTAAAAAGTTTTATAGCAATTTCTATATATAAATTAATAGACATTCTATAGGAATTCTATAGGCCATATGTTTTAAAAGTTTATAGTAACTCTATTGACCTTTTTTTCCCGGATTTTGTCACTCCGCCACTGTAGTGGATTAGTGTGTCTATTTATTTCTGGTTCCTCCGGATATTGCCTTAGCTGAGAGTCAATGCCTTTTAGTAATTGTTGTTCATGTGCTGTGCCACTAGCGGACGTAGACTGAATAATTTTATCAATAAATTGCTAATGTAATGATGATGATGTAGAAAAATTATCAAGCCTGGCTTATTTTGCTGGATTTTCTTCAGTTTTGTCAATCTTCTGCTCAGTATGCTCAGATTGACTTCAATCTTGCTTTTTCAGCTGTCAGTTTTTCCTGTAATGAGGAGAATTTAGTTTTAAATTGTAGATCAACCAGGGTCGTCACTATATAAAGAGGTTTCTCTCTTCAATGCTTTTAAAATGCTCATCCAATCACTTGATTAGGATTGACATCATAGTCTTTATACACCTGCATCATAGTAAAATATTGTGTGTCTTCCCTTCAGAATTTTTTGTTGCGTTGTTGTTTGAAACTAGGCTAAGCTTTTTAAATTGTAAAGAAATATAAATACAAATACTAAAACAAACATGAAGTTCATAAATATATTAAATATATAAAATAAAATAATTACCCAAAAAAATTGATTTTTATTAATAAAATTTTAGGTATACATGTAAACACGGGCAAAAAAAAATGTAATAAATATTTGACGAAAATTCAAAACTCCGGCTAAAATTATGCTGGATTTGCTAATTTTTTGCCGGAGCCGGATTTTGGCCAGATTTGTAAAAATGGCCAGATTTTGGCCGGAGCAGGAGCCAGAGCCGAAATCCGGTACAGCCCTATTCATGACGATGTACAAACAATAACTGCTGCTCCTCAGCATTGTTGTTGGTTTAGTAATACCACTTTTAAAAGTAAAAATTAAACAAGTATTATTTAAACATTTACTGGCATAGTTAAACTATCAAAACAAAAGTTTATAACTAACATATCATTTACATATTGAGAAGTATTGAGAATTTTACAATCATTTATTGAATAAAACCACAAAGCAAATTTAATTTCACTTCAGCTTCATATTTCTAAATTCATTTATAATGTCATCAAAATTTTTATTTGATATTTTCTATAAACTTAAGATAATAAATTTAGGCAACATAATCTGTCTTTAAACATGATTACCTTGTTTACATGTTAAAAGTAAACAGTTTTTTATGTTAAATTTACAGAAATCTAAAAGCTACACATAAAGCCACAGTCACATGTAGAGTAAGCATTACCCTTAACTAAATACTAATGTATTCCATATCAGCATTTTCATTAGTATTTTAAAAGGTTATAAAAATATAAAATTAAAAAAAGTTATTAATTTTGCTTGATTTTTAATAAACTCTAATTCATTTAATAATTTCCTTAAATCCAATTCACTATTTACAATTCAACAGTCAGCTGCATCTTTTTTTAAACCTACATATATTATGATAGCTATACAATATTTAATCATATCATAATACTTGTATAGCTTATGATAGCTATACAAAATTATGATATAATTGAAGATGGAAGATTATTTGAGACAGCTTCTGGATCTGGCTTCATCAATTTGTATTTAGTGTTTACTCAAGGGCAAAACCATCCACCACACCCAACCACTAATTCAAAATTTGGGTGATATAGTCGATTTTTTATATAATAGCTTCCAGCAAAGTACAAAACAGCAATTTATCCCCAAACCTAGCAATTTTAATCACTTTAAGGGCCGACAATGGCTTCCTTGTTTCTACTTGTCACTATACTTCAACCTTGTGGGTTTTAGAATCATGCCGTTTATCAGTTGTAAATCAGGAAATAATAAATGCTTGTCACAAAGCTACTTCCACTGAAGTAATTATAAGAAATGTGTTGTCAAAATTTGACTTGACTTTAGATAATATTTTACGAGTTACAACTGACACTACTCTTAGCATACTGTGTGAAATTAAACTTCTTAAAACTCATTGGCTAGGCTGCTGTGTTCATAAACTCCAACTTTGTGTGAAATCAGCTATCCACAACAACCAATTCTTGTGACATTGTCTAACTAAAACACAATTACAACTGTTAACAATTATTACTAAATATTATTAAATTTTAAATGCAGTAAGCCACTACTATTCTAAGTGCGGGAAAAAAAAAACCAGCATTAGTTTATCTGTGTGTTACAGCTTTGAAAAATTACCTATCCTCAATGGATAAAAGAGGGATAAGTAAATTTGTTGATGATCTTACTACGAAGTTAAAAATCAGGTTTAAATTAAGTGAAGACATTTTTGTTATCACGACCATCTTAGACCCTTGATTTAAATTAGTAATGTTTACCTTGGCAGAGATACAAATTGTTAAATTTTACATAATGGTATCTGAAAAAAAGCACAATTTAAGTATTTCTACGACTCCTGATAAAATTCAAGTGGAGGGAACAATCTGAAACAAAGGGAATTTTAGATAAAATGTTTAAGTATGTTTCTTAAAATTGTACCCTACCAGAAAGAAGAATTTTAGACCAGCAATTAAAATTTGAAATTTCTGCGTACACCTAAGAGAAAATATTGTGACATTTAAATTGTCCTATTCTTAAATTGTCCTATATTAGGGGTAGTCAATTTGAAGAAATTTTCAAATCTAAAATACACTCTAGATTTAGGGCAAATATTAAAAAAAAAGATCTCAAAAAAATTTGAACTCAACAGTACCACTCAATCCTTACTCCCTAAGCACTTTTTTAAAAAAAGCATTTTTAAAAATCTTCAAAAATTGCTTATTTTATAGGTCCAGGGGGGAAGTTTAATTACAAAAATTTGAATTTTTTTTTTCTGGGTTGTTTATTTTTACCTATATATTTGAGTAAAAATAAATGGTATCATTTTTTTCAAAAAATATTTTTTTGAAAAAAAAGATACCATTTTTTTCAAAAAATATTTTTATTTTTTGAAAAAAATGGTATCATTTTTTTCAAAAAAATAAAAATATTTTTTGAAAAAAATGGTTTTTTTCAAAAAATATTTTTATTTTTTTAAGTCAGGTCAGGTTTTCCTGCTGTTTAAGTCAGGTCAGGTTTTCCTGCTACTGGTAACATGTAACCCAGTACAACCTGCTCCATGTCCTGCTGCCTTGTAGGATACGCTTTTTTAGGCAAAGGCTAGGAGAAGTTAACTCTGAATTAAAACACCCCCTGCCTTGGGGCTCTTGGTTGAGTAAAGGCTACAGATGGTGTCTCGATAAAAATACTCATCTTGGGCAGATGTTACATGCATCCAGCTGCTGTCTTGTAGAAGGCCTCCTAGGCAAAGACTTAAGGGGTAAACAGATTCTATCTGTTGACCAGCCTCGCACCCCTTCCTCATCTATTAGGCTGGCGCAGATGTATTTTTAATACATTGTTTCCAGTTTAGGATGTTGAACGCTGGATCTTTTTCTTGACTCAATGCGTGGGTATTGCTTGTGTCTCTATTTTTATGACTGGGCAACTCATTCTATTATCTCCTAATGAGGGTACAGCTCTAAAACTCAGTTTTATGGTTCTGAGGCCGGCTGGTAGTCAGGTTTCCCGAACTCTGTGGTAGCTCTCAGAGAGGCTGATTCCATCAACAGCCGAAAAATATCAGAGTACTAACAGTGCCATGTTGCGCATGGATGGTGTCCCTGTTTGTACTTTTGGTGTGCATTGCAGAGGCCACATTTGGAGCCCTTTGTTACGGCTTAGGGTTTATTAATAGTAATGAGGCTATTGCTTAGTTGTTAAATAGTGTACTGAGTACTATCTATACTTGAGTCAAGTTCTTTATAAATTTGAAATGACTAAAGTACCTAAAACTAAAAAACACAAAAAACCATTGTCATCACCAAGTTCTCTAAACCTATCATTTACTAATATTCGTGGTCTTCGAAGTAACTTTTCTTCTGTTGAGTCTTATCTCTTACAAAGTTCACCAGACCTACTTGCTCTTTGTGAGACTAATTTGAGTTCGGCTGTCCCATCTTGTGATCTTAGTGTTGATGGTTATCTTCCTTTAATTCGTAAAGACTCCAATAATCACATGCTTGGCCTGGGCATCTACATTCGTAAGAACTCACCCATTTGTCGTGAAACTAGGTTTGAATCTACAGACTATTCATTTATGTGCTTTCGTTTAGCACAACTTCACTCTATCGCCTTTCTCATTGTTCTATATCGCTCTCCTTCATCCCAAGATTGCACTATTCTTGATGTTATTTCTGATCAAATTGACCAAGCCCTCTCTCTTTATCCATCGGCCAATATCGTCGTTGTTGGTGACTTTAATGCCCATCACACCGATTGGCTTGGCTCTAG